ATCCTATCCTCTCGTCATTCAGGCAAGCGACTAAGCCGAAATTTCATGAGGACATTTTCTAATTTTGTGGGACACAGAAAAAATAGTGGTAGCTTTCACGCGCATGAACGTCTCGCATAAAGACGCGACAAATTTCAGACTGCAAAAATGCATGAACGCGCCGGAAACTCTGATATGCGTTGCTTTCTAGATCTGTTTTATCTTTACTTTTTACTGCCAAACAAAGCACGGCCGTATTGCTTGTGCACGCGTTGTTAGTTGTGATATGACTTGTTTTTTATTAGAACGAACTAAGCAACTGCTGTTTTAATACGGCCACATATATGAGCTTGTAGGAATGTGACTGCTGAGGCGTAACAAATATGTATTTTAGCATCTATTCTTTCTTAATTAATAGCACAGCGTTTTTTTTCGAATGCCAGCGCTCGGATTTAATCGTTGGTTTCTGCTTTATGAGGAAATTCATCTGGCAGTTTAGGTCTAATTTGGTCGCAGCAAGTTGCAGTATTTTCAGCAAGGCGACTCCGGTGCTGCTGAATTTGTGCCAACATTGATACCTGCCGATAACAGCAAAGAAGCAACAGAAAGCGAAAAGTACGTCTCATTCATTATCGGTTGACTGTTGCCTTTCAAGTTCTCAGTGGACGCTTTTCAGTGCCCGTCTTACACAAATAATCTCAGAAAAGGAAGATTCCTTGCGCATTTTGCGTCAACAGTTAGCAGACATCAAAAAAGTCAATGTTGATTTATACGAAAAAATCCGTATTGTTGAAGAGAAATGTCGACATTTTGAAAAAGAACTTATTCGAACCAGTCAACAGCATAGTAAGGCAAGTTAAATCCCGAAAACGAGTTCCTTTTGTCGCAGTCGCCTACCTACTTTTGGACCAGTGCAGAAAATTTTTCTTGGATTCGAATTTATGGCGGCAAAGCCATGTGCTTCAGGAAAAAGAGCAACAAAATCAGATCATTGAAAAGTTAAAACAACAAAATGTGCAGCGTGATACTGATTTGGAGCAGAAATCTGGAGTTTCGGAGATGCTGAAAAAAGACTTAGCTGAAAAAACAGAAGAATATATGCAAACGCTGGCTGTGCTAAATAAAAAGCAGGTGAGTGTTGTGTTTTTTGAGGAGCATGTGACTGCCACGTGGTCGTCGCTGTATGTGTCTGTAATTTTGTTTGTGCTACAGTTGGTATTTTAAATGCATTTTTTGTGGGCGTACGCATTGCAGGAAGAGTTAACTGCGGCAAATGACAAATTGACGAAACTGCGACGG